ATCTGATTTCTTGTGTCCTTTTAATTTGCTCACTTGTATTTTCTTTCCAAAGTTTAATTTTGGCTTACTTCATTTAACATGATATCTTCCAGTTCTATCCATTTTGCAGCAAGTGCATGATTTTATATTCCTTACTGATATGTAGTATTCCATTGTGTTTAGATACCACAGCTTCATGACCCACTATCTGTTGTTGGACATCTAGGTTTTAGCTATTGCACTGAGTGCTGCAGTGAAAATTAGTGGGCTTGGCCCTTTTTTTTTTTTTTTGGTAAAGAAAACTACTTTTATTTAGGAAATATGATAGAGAGAAGAGAGAATCCCATAGGAAAAAAGGAGACATAAATAGAATGCCGATTAGAATACAGGTGACCTTTAACATTCAATGTACTGTAAAGAATCCCACATGCAGAGAAAAGGAGGGTGTGTGAGTCCAAAATGAAGTGCACCAGGAGTAAGACCTGAGCACCACTGGATATGGCCTAACGACCAAATTTTAGAAAACAAGGTAAATTCACATGTAGTTTTACTTATTTTCAGTTTTTTGGGGGGGGGGGGGGGGGTTGGCCACATCTTGTGGTACTTAAGAATCACTCCTGGTGGTGCTTGGGCAATCAGATATGGTGTTAGGGCATGAACAGGAGTCTGCTACAGGCAAGGCAAGGAAGCACCTTAACTCCCTACTATTTCCCTGGCCACAATTAGTTTGGTTCGGTATTGTCATTTCCCTCCTCTCCCTAGCCACCCATAGCCTTTGTGCCATTTTGAATTTTTTACTGGCAGTGTATGAGCCTGGAACTATCATTTTAATATTCTCTCCCCAGCCCCCAGGATGACTCTGTTGATAGTCCAGTAAGAAACATTCAAGTTTCAGGGGTACACTTTCAGCATTGGGGTCACATGTTTAAGTCCGAGTATCCCATTTGTTAATTTTGGACGGATAACCTGAATAAAATTTAACCAGCATTTCTTATCTATAAAATGAGGACGCTTTTTATTTGTCTGCTTTCTAGTGTCATGAAATTGAATGTGCCTACTCTCAAAGTTGTGTTTATAACAGGTGTTTGGATCTTGTCTCTGAGTTGGGACTGTCTTGGCCTCATACCAGGTAGAACTCCAGAGATTTGCACAGGAAGAAGCTCGGGGATCATGTTGTTCTTGGGTGCTCACCAGTCTTAACTGATGAGTAACTTTTGCCAAGACAGGAAGGACAACCAAGGTCTTCCAGGTCTGTGACTTGTCTTTTGATTGCCTGTTTTTTGTTGGCTTTCTCCTTAGTCAGTAGCCAACATACACCAAAAGGAATTTTAAAATTCCTATAAAGACAGTTTAAATTAAAAGTACCAGTAGACCTTGCAAGGTATACTTGCTTAGTAGCATTTTTTAATAAACTTTTTAACACTCATAAGATTGAAAATACATATTGAAAATACATATTATTGTTTAAAATATCAAATATGCATTATAAGAGAGAAATACTTTTTTTTTTACTTTTTGGGTTACACCCAGCAATGCATAGGGGTCACTCCTGGTTCATGCACTCAGGAATTACTCCTGGCCATGCTCGGGGGACCATATGAGATGCTGGGAATTGAACCTGGGTCGTACCATGTGCAAGGCAAACGCCCCACCCACTGTGCTATCACTCCTGCCCCTAAGAGAGAAATACTTTTTAGAAATCTTTCTCTGAAGGGACAAGATATATTGGGTAAATGTGGCAATAACAAACAATGGCAGACATCTGGAATCCTGAGTTTGTATCTGTGAATTTCCTTCAATAGGAAACCCAGTAACGTCTCCATTGGAGACTTTGTTGTTACTGTGTTTGGCATATCAAATACGTCACAGGGAGCTTGCCAGGCTCTGTCGTGCGGGCGAGATACTCTTGGTAGCTTGCCGGGCTCTCCGAGAGGGGCGGAGGAATCGAACTTGGGTCACCATGTTGGCTGCGTGCAAGGCAAACGCCCTACCGCTGTGCTATCGCTCCAGCCCAGTGTAAGTTCAACAGAAGAATTTTCAATGTCAACTGAAACACAGTGGGAATATTCTCTAATGTTTTGGATCATGTTTGTCTTTGTTTTGGAGAAAAAGAAAAAAGAGGAGAAACAACATAATCTAACATATTCTTTCCAACTCTAATTGATGTTGCTATATATTAAATTAAACTAAGTAGCTACACTTCTCTAGGTTTGACTTGAAATGTGTTAATTGTCCCTGTCTGGCAAGAGAGTGACCAGCCAGCTGTGCATCTACCAGCAGTTACAGGAAGTTGTAAAAGATACAGGATTTATTCAGAATATGTGGCTTTCTTTTTTGTAGACTTGGATTATTTTTCTGATAATGGGATTAAAGAAGAAAACAGGTAGCTATTGTTAAAAATTCTGTTTAAGTAGAGAATGAGTTTGTACTTGTCACTTGTACATGGCAGAAGTGATCAGGAGACCTGCAGAAACCTCTTGTTCCACTAATAAATATGCTTGTACTGAATCAAATGAGAAAAACCAAGTCTGGTTGCCTTTTATAAAGATTGTATAAAGATTTTGTAAAGGCCATTAATCTGTTTATTATGGATTATTAATCTGTTTATTAAAAAGGAGAGGTCTGGTGATCAATTCTCCATTTGAAAAGTGAAAGGTTACAGATATTTATTAAAGAACAACTGAACACCAGCCAAGAAAAGTTGGAGGTTTACAGAAGCTATACTCTTTCAGATTGCATGTTTTTTGGTTCTTCTCCACATGTGGAAGTCTGGATTATGTGTAATTAAATATTCTTTTGAAAATTTAAGTTAGGAATGCAAATTCTGCCTTGTGGATGCTTGAGCCATATGCAGTCTCTAGCACCATCTCTTCGGGGTCCTGCACTGGCTCCCTGGAGTATGTGCTCCTTGGAAGGTGCTGAGGAGGCCCTGCACAGACTAGGACCGCTGGCTTGTGGGAAACAGCTGTGTGTGTTCACATTGTGTAGATAATTTATGCTGAGGGGAGTCAATCAGAAGAAAATTCATCAACAAATAAATGACCTTTCATGTTGGCATATGTCAAAGGCCTTTTTATTTTGGGCTAATAAAAGCACTGACCGTTATGTATTTGGATAATGAAAGTACTGACTTACTATATAAGAAATGGTGTTCTGCTGCCTTTTGAGCCCTCTTGGCAGTGCTTTGGGGCCGCTGCCCAGTGTTGTTGGGGACGTGGTGTGCTGGGGATCCGGGTTTGCTCTCCGGCCTTCCAGCTCCCTCCCAGCGTCCTTACGTGGTTGTGAGTGGTGGTCGCCTCTGGGGAAGAGTGGTTGGGGGCCTGTGTGGAAGGGCAATTTTGTGATTGTGGGTCTGCTTTGGGGAGCAGCTTCTGTGGCACGTGTGTGGCTCTGTATGAAGTGGCCTGTAGCCCTGCACTCCTGCCAGCAAGTCTGCTTTCCCCACCCACCGCCAAGGAGCGTCTGAGATTTTCTTTGGTAGCCTCTTAATTTCTTTTGCTCCTGAGCAAAAGCACTGTCAGAATTTATTGATTTTCCTTCCTGTCTCTGACTCTAATCTCCCCCGTCTTGAAAGCCATGGAAGATTTCTCCCAGTGAAATGCATCTTCCCGCCGAAACCCTGTAGCCCCCTGGGTCACTGGCGCCTCAGGCCCTTCCCAGCCACACTGCCCAGCCCCTGTTCCTTGGCCCTTCCACACTCTCTCTGGCAACCATCTGTGCCGTGGACATCTCAGGATGAAAGTGACCTGGACGTACTTGCCACTGTCAGGCTGTCCGGGGGGCCAGTGTTATCGTTACTCTGTTCTTGCCTGTTCACACCTGAAGCCGGGACTGGGCTTCCTCTCTTCCTCTCGGTGGCCTGGCTGTCCACACCACACCCTTTCATGGACAGGTGAGCTCTGTTTGAACCATGCCTCCCTGGAGGGCCACGGAAAATAACCTGCTTCTAAAGCCTGCCCTGGCTGCAAGTCTGCATGTGGGGAATCCTTTAGCTGTCACTGCACTGACAAGGTTAGGATCCCATAGAAACCTCATCTCAGGGCTGTATTCTACATTTGAGGCAAGTTTATTTTTATTTTGAAACTAAATTGCCAGTTATATAACTTCATAGAGCTTGTGGTTTGTTAATTTGGTATTCATGTTACTTTTTGTTTGTTTTCTGATTCAAATTTTTTTTTAAATTTTTTTTATTTTTTGCTTTTTTGGGTCACACCCGCCAATGCACAGGGCTCTAAACTCAGAAATTCTCCTGGCGGTGCTCAGGGGACCATATGGGATGCTGGGAATCGAACCTGGGTTGGCTGTGTGCAAGGCAAACACCCTACCTGCTGTGTTATCGTTCCAGCCCCTCAAATGTTTTTTTTAAATGGAAGTTTTCATAGAATTAGAATGACCTCTGATACTGTCTTTGTTTCCTACATAAAAATATGGAGAATTTAATGACTGTGAGATTAAAATAATAGTTAAGATTCATTGTAAGTCTATTATATGCCACTCTACATTGGTTTTATCATTTAATTGACTCAGTAATGATACTGAATGGGGAATCTCAGAGACATTGTTGAACTTGCTGGATTTTATTGGTGTGGGGTGGTTGACAAGTTTAATTGTGTACATCTCTAAAATTAATACAGTTGATAACTGAATTTAGGGGCATCTCCTTTTTTTTTTGTGGGAAAGTCGTTGCTTTGTACTCTGGTGCCCAATGATGATAGAAGAGTTTATTCTGCTCTGGTCAGAGAAGAATATTACCTCTGGAGAATATCACTTATATCACCTGGTCACCTGCAGACCTGAGGTGATGCAAAGGAGATAACAGTGAGGTGTTAGCAGTAAAATTTAAGTGGGGCTTATGTTTTGCTGTTTTACTTGAATATAGCTTTAAGCAGTCCTTCAGAACTAGTTGCCAAGAAGTACTGCTCTGTGATCTGTGCCCTGCCAGTCCCCTTGCTGTGTGCCTAGAGGGGTGTCATCTGAGGGGTGTCACAGTGAATCATTCCCATTCTCTCTTTTTCTCTCAGTGCAATGAAACCTCATTTTTTTTTGAAGCTCGAACTAAAAGTGCTTGCAAACATCTCTGGAAGTGCAGTGTGGAGCATCACACATTCTTTAGGTATGTCAATGTAAAGTTCTCTTCTCTATTCAAACAAGTGATGATTGCATTTGTTTTTATAACAGGAATTATGCCTCCAAGTTTAAATCACTCTTTTTTTTTCAGGTCTCTAATTCTCTGGATCTTAATACAAACAGCCCCAGATATCTTATTTGCTCGTACTATATAAAGGGCCAGGGATAGCTTTTTTAGGCTAATGTGAAAAAGTTTCATCTTGGTGTTATTTGGAATTAAGTGTATGACATGCACATATTAAACTTGAAATGCTTATTAGGCAACTGGGCTGGAGCGATAGCACGGCAGGTAGGGCATTTGCCTTGCATGTGGCCGACCCGGGTTCAATTCCTCCGTCCCTCTCAGAGAGTCCAGCAAGCTACCAAGAGTATCCAGCCCACATGCCAGAGCCTGGCAAGCTACCATGGTGTATTCAATATGCCAAAAACAGTAACAAGTCTCACAATGGAGATGTTACTGGTGCCCGCCCGAGCAAATCAGTGAACAACGGGAGGACAATGTGGTGCATTAGCTGACTGAATGGGATGTTACAACCTCACTGCCAGGCCAAGGCTGGTTCCATGGACTTTTAAGTGCCTAAGGCAGAGGGTAAATGTAGTCACCTGTGGGAGAGGCAGAAAGCCACAGGGAGGGCTTTGAAATCCCTCTGGTCTTCATTTATCACTATTACTGGCAGTTTTTCATTTTTGGAACCATACCTGGAGGGTTCTATGTGATGTCAGGGATTGAACCAGGGCAGCTGCATGTAACGCAATCGCCTTACCTTCTGTACTGTTTCTCCAGCCCTTCTTCCCAACACTAGAGTTCAGGAAGAACAAAATACAATGTCTGAAAAAGCCTAATTTTCATTTTTATAATTCACTAGAATGCCAGAAAATGAATCAAATTCATTGTCAAGAAAACTCAGCAAGTTTGGATCCATAAGTTATAAACACCGGTATAGGTAAATGAAAGATTTTCTCTTACCTGTTTGTGTGTGTGAATGAGTATTTAATTAAGTTGTTCATATACAAGTATATTTAAACTTCATGATTTAAATTTTTCTTATCTTCCACAGTATCAATGCACTTGATAATGATATTTCCTAAAACCTTCTTAATAAAAATAAAATATTTGATATTTATATTAGCAAGATTGAGTGTAAAGGCTTTTATTTATTTTATTTTTATTTTTTAATTGAATCACAGTGAGATACACAGTTAGAAAGTTGTTCATGATTGGATTTTAACCATATAATTTTCCAATACCCATCCCTTCACCGGTGTACATTTCCCACCACCAATGTCCCAGTTTCCTCCCCGTCCCCCTAGTACTCCCCCTCTCCCCACCAATTCTATGGGAGGCACTTTTCTTCTGTCTGTCTGTATGTATGTATGTATATGTGTATGTCTCTCCTTTGGGCATTATGGTTGGCAATGCAATTACTGAAAGGCTATCTTGTATATCCCTTTATCTACTTTCAACACTTAGTTCTTGTCCAAAGTGATCATTTCCAACTATTAGTGTCATATGGTCCTTTCACTATCCTCACTACCCTTTGTCCTCCACTCCAAACACACTAGTGGCAAGCTTCCAACCGTTGACCAGTCCTTCTGACCCCTGTTTTCCCTGGTCTTGGGTATTAGTCTCATGCTAATTTTTTATTTTATTTATTTATTTATTTATTTATTTTTGCTTTTTGGGTCACACCTGGCGATGTACAGGGGTTGCTCCTGGCTATGCACTCAGGAATTACCCCTGAGAGTGCTTAGGGGACCATATGAGATGCTGTGAATCAAACCCCGGTGGGCTGCGTTGCAAGGCGAATGCCCTACCCGTTGTGCTATTGCTCCAGCCCTCATATTAATTCTTTAATATCCCCAAAATGAGTGCAGCCATTCTATACCTGTGCCTTTTTTTTTACTCTTTTCATTCAGCATCATAAACTCCATGTCTATCCATTTATAAGCAAATTTCATGATTTCATTGTTTGTCAGGGCTTTTAGAATGTAGTTGAGCATATTGTCTTCAATTTTCACTTTGATATTATTATCACATTTCTAATTAAGCTTTATGTATGAAATATAATACGCCTTTTGAATAGTTTCTAATTGATTGTGTTCTTAGAATATTCAGTTGATCAGCTGTTGTAACACAATGTATATTTTTAATTAAATCATGTTTTCTGCAGAATAAAACCTAGATATAGCTAGTAGTTATATATCAACTTTATTGAATAGTTACTTATTTCTATATATTGTGGAAATGTTTTCTATTAGCTGCTTCATTTTATCATCATAATATTCAACAATGCCACTGTCACTAATATGTGATGAAACTAAGTCTTTTAGAAATGGCAAGATCCTTCCCTGTGGTACCCAGATAGGAAGTCCTGGATTCACACCCTGGATTCACACCCTGGCAGTCAGATTCCCGGTGCTTCTCATCATTAGACAGCTGTTCGGAGTGTGGGGACTGGAAGCTGGTGTGTGTCTGTGTGTTAGGGACCTGTGGTGGGAGGGTGGGGGGTGGATATGAGGAGTTGTCATTCTAATGTCAACCTAATACCAGGTTCAGAACGTGCTTCTGTCATTTGAAAAAGAAAGGCACAGTAGTGGATGCCCAGAGATAGATGTTAGCTCTGATTTCTGCCTTCAGAGGGTTACAGATTCTCTGGCCAGGACCCAAGTCTGCCAAACCCACCCAGGCTGTGGAATGCCTCTCAAAAGCAGTTCCATGTGTGCTGGGTATCATACTTCAGATTTAACTTCTGGGTTTGGGCCACATTTTCTATTTTTCTTTTCTTTTAAAATTTGTGGGGTTTGGAGGGATAACACCCAGTGGTGCCCAGGGATCACTCTGGCTATGCACAGGGATCACTGACTTTAGAGCTCGGGGGACTATGTGGGGGACCATGGATTGAACTTAGGTTGGCAGCATGTCAAGGCAAGTGCCCTACCTGGTATCTCATCCCCAGTGGCCACATTTTCATTTGAAACCAGAGATAATGTTCATGTTAAATGTTCATTGTATTCATCTTACAATCTACTTGGATATATTCTCATTTGATGACTTACCTAAAACTTAAGGTATCATTGTATTATAGATGTTCTTGGTATATTTTTAATGTCTTCAAAATGCTTTAAGATTTGACTTTTGGGAGACACAGAGACAGTGCAGGGGATGTGTGCTTATTTTGCATACAACTAACCCCAGTTCTATTCCTGACACTACATATGGTCCCCCAAACTCCACCAGAAATGATTACTAAGAACAGAGCTAGGAGTAAATCCTGAATACCTACTCACCATGGCTTCCAAACAAAATTAAAAACAAAAAATTGACCTTCAAAATGTCAGTGTTTTTCCCTAACAAGTGATACAGTTGTTAGGAAATAAATAAGAGTATTTGCCTTTATATAGTAAAGAACAGCCAGTCTTTGGGTTTATCTTATAGGTAAGGCTTTTTCTCGTTCATATAGAATGTGTAAATCCATCTCCTTGCCACTGAAAAGCTACATCTTAATGGTCATGCCATTAAAATTGTAATTATACAGCTTAACATATGCTGTAGTTGCTTTTCACAAATTTACCTGTACCTGATTTCTTTAATTTATTAAAATGCAAATGTTGTGGCTACTGGGAATTTTATTGGCAGGTTATTGAAGTTTTGCATATTAAATAGTACTTCTTTCAAGAAAGTTGCTACAAGTAACCTTTACAGAATTTGGTAAAGGTAAAGGTAAAGGCCCTCCCGTTGATCGTCGATTTGCTCGAGCGGGCCCAGTAACGTCTCCATTGGAGACTTTGTTGTTACTGTGTCTGGCATATCGAATACTCTCGGTAGCTTGCCGGGCTCTCCGAGAGGGGCGGAGGAATCGAACTCGGGTCGGCCATGTTGGCCGCTTGTAAGGCGAATGCCCTACCCGCTGTGCTATCGCTACAGAATTTGAGACTGCAAAATTGTTTATTTTCCTGGCTGGTGTTTGCTGCCTAGTGAGTGTTGATGAAACGTGAACATTTGTGTCTCTGTAGGAAGTATTAATGTGAGACCACCCTTGGAAGAAAGAATTTCATCTCATTGCCCAGAGCTAATCATAATTTAAAAAAGAGGGAAATAACCAGCCTTCCTGGAAACTTTCTAGAGATACGAAGGCTTTCAAACACAATTCCCCCCGCCCCACCCCTTGCGGACAGAAGCAGCTGCATGAGTGTATGTCCGAGTGTTGATGTTACAGCCCCCCACTGTGGGGTGTGAGTGGGTCACGTTTGTGTGTACAGCTGTGTATGTTGATAGTGCAATGTATATTTCCTGAGGGTGTTATGGTGTTTACAATGGAGAATGACAGTCTTTAAACTCTTCTGTGCATCTTAAGACTTGTAAAATGCCAAGGAGATGCCACTCCCTTTTAGAAAAGCTAAAGGAAAGATGTAAGCAACTCCAGTCATAGTGACAGCCTATGCTTTAAAAAATGTTAATTTATAAGGAAAATCTGAGCCATTTGGCATTTTTATTTTCTGAGATCAATAAAATGAAATAAAGGCTGATTAAATCATACTTTAAAGATGAGAATTAGGCTGAGGACCTTTTCTCCCCAAGAACTCAAGTTTCATTTCTTGTAGGATTGAATCTCAGAATTTTCCACATTTCTGGGGCTGGATAAATAGTCAGCAGGTAGGGCACTTGCCTTGCATGTGATTGAGCCAGGCTTGCTTGATCTCTGGTCCCCCTAGTACTCCCAAGAGTAATCCCTGAGTACAGAGCCAGGACTAACCCCTGAGTATCATAGTTTAAAAATCACTGGCCCCCACCCCCACTCCAATCCCCCAACACAAAGAACTTCCCAAATTAAAATGTGGAACTTCCCTTCTTAAAAAAGGTGGAAGAGTAACAGAGTTATGAGAACATCCTTTGTGTCGGGTCTTTCCACAGTGTTACTTCATTTAATATGCTCAGTGAAGTGCCAAGTGAGGTCTCTCCTGAGGCCTGCAGATGGGAACCTGAGCCCCTACAGTGTAAAGTATCTGAACTATAAGACTCTGAACTACTAAGTGGAGAAGCTGGGGATTGGGCCCAGATGTTCCCCTCTTGTTCTCCCCATTCTGTTCTCACTTGGGCTGCTCACAGTGCTGCTCGGGACAGGTGGTGGTGGGGGCAAGCAGAGGAGGCAGGACAGTATCTGGTCAAGGGGACAGAGTCGGCATCTCCAGATTGCCACCCGCATGTGTAGGAGTCCCTACACCTTTCCTGGCAAGTGTGTCTCTGGCCTGTACCAGGACCCCTAAGTCTGCCCTACTGCAATCTCCCTGCTAGAGAGTAGTAAGCATAAGTTCTAACAATTTATTTTGCTTAATGTGTTATTTATAAAGGATCCTTCTGGAGCCTTAAAAAAAGAAATTTCCTGACGAAGAGCACGTGGTTGGAGCACGCTTAGCTTTCCAGCCGCGCCCCCTTCCCTGGCCGTGTGTGTGTGTGTGTGTGTGTGTGTGTGTGTGTGTGTGTGTGTGTGTGTGGCTAGGTGGCTCAAGAAGCTCTTCTTACCCAGGGCCCATGCTGCCACTGTGTTTCTGGCCCGTAAGACTAAGTCTCGTTAGTCTTATGATGTATGTTCCCATTTCTTCTTCATTTCTGAGAGAAACAATGAGAACTACTAACTAATAAAATCTCACTATAAAAAGCCACAGCACACTACACAAGGAATTATATTTTAGAGGGAATATTTTTTTCTTCTCTGAAATTATATTCAGTACCCAAAGCTTTCTGATGACAGGAAACTGTGTAAGTCTTAGTTTTCATACTTCAGACTATTTACAGTTACAAAGTTTTGCCCTGATTTTCAGAAGAGGGGCTAGAGGGATAGTATTAGGGTTCAGCACCTGCCTTGCATACGGCCCGCTTGGCTGAATCCTGACACACTGTCCCCCCAGCACTGCCTGCATCTCTCTTGAATACAATCAGAGCTGAGGAGATCCCAAGCTTGGTCCAGTGTGCCCCACTCAATGCACTCTCTCTCTCTCTCTCTCTCTCTTTCTCTCTCTCTCTCTCTCTCTCACACACACACACACACACACATACACACACACACACACACACAAAGACTTTCAGGAGAGATGTTGTAATTTATGTTGCCTTGTTTGGTATATTTTTTTAAAGTCGCTAAATTTCAGGAAACAGAAACCTGTAGTGTTTCACTTCCGTTTCATCCCACTGTGCACTCGTGGTAGATTTGGCATCTTGACCCCTATCACAGGGACACTATCTCAGCCTGTACCTAGAGTCTCTAGTCTGCTTAAAGAAGAACAACTTTGTGTGTGTGTGTGTGTGTGTGTGTGTGTGTGTCTTTTTATATCTAAGAAAGTAGAATGAGCAGCAAGGAAAAATTTTAAAAGGTGCACTGGAGGGAAATTTTGTTTTATCAGTCCTATTTGACCATTTAGGAAGAGATTCACCAATACTTAACCCGTCAGTGGAGGAAGAGTAAGATTCAGGTGCATTAAGAGGCAATTTTTGTAATGGATCAGCGTAGAGAAATGCATTTTTCCTATATCTAAGTGATACTTTCCTGCATAAATTACAGCCTCACAGCCAGAATCTGTGGAATTCATTTTTAGTAAGGTGAACATTCCCTGAAATGCAGCGAATGAAAATTCAGTTAGTGGGAATATTTACCCCTTTGGTCCTGAGCTCCGTAGAGAGGCGTTGCTTTGTGAGCTTAAGACCTCCGGGTTTCTGGACTCTGGGCCTGCACTGCATGTCCCAGAAAGTCAGGGGAGAAGCCAGAGGCCAAGTGGAGAAGTACTTCCCCACTGCCATGCCTGTACCACATGGGGACTTGTCTCAGGGAAATCGTTGCCCCTGTGTAGAGCAGCTCGTGGAATTTCTTTAATATTTAGTTGTAGAGCTGGAAGGTAATCAGCCTTCCTTTTCTAATCTGTCATTTCACATAAATCTAAACGTAACTCTTCATTTAATAAATCCTTATCCCTGGTGTTTGAGCTATAGCACAGCGGGTAGGGCGTTTGCCTTGCATGTGGCCAACCTGAATTGGATTCCCAGTATCCCATATGGTCTTTCTAGCACTGCCGGGAGTAATTCCTGAGTGCATGAGCCAGGAAACTTGTCTGAACATGTGGAGAGTGGTCTCAGCATGGCTGTGGCTGGTTCCAGAGGTCTTTGACTGCCGAGGCTCTGCTCAGAGTGGGGAGGGAAACTCAACACCCCCCCCTTCCAAAGGTCCCCAGTGAGGACAGCCAGGCACGGGGGCAGGAGACTCTGCTGAAGACCTCCGAAACCAGCCACAGCCATGCTGAGACCACTCTCCACACGTTCCGACAAGCCTCATGCATGAAGGAACCAACAGAGGAACAAAGGCATGCAGGTCCCGGGGCTGAGATCTCCAAGCCTGCTGGGATCGGGACTGGGTCTCCTTCACCCAGATCCCCCATCTTCCAGTAGGTAGGCGTCACACCCACCAACTGCCCCCGGCCGTGTAATCCCATCAATAGCCAAGACCCAGAGACTATAAAACCTAGCTCCCAGATGCCCACGGCCACATTCACAGCTGTGTGACATCTTATTATCTAGTTCTTACTCTGGAGAACCCTGCAGGCTACCAAAAGTATCCTGCCCACACAGCAGAGTCTGGCAAACTGCCCGTGGTGTACTCAATATGCCAAAAACCAGTAATAATGATGTGTCTCATTCTCCTGACCCTGAAAGAGCCTTGAATATGGCACTTTCTAAAATCTCAGGGCTAGGACGAAGAAGACGTTACTGGTGCCTGCTCGAGGAAATCGATAAACAACAGAATGACCGTGACTGTGATGAGCCAGGATTACTGTAGGTGGTTCAGGTCCAGGTATGGCCCAAAAAGCAAAATAAATAAATAAATAAATAAATAAACCTACAACAAAACAAAAACCCTTATCTCTGCTTATTCCCTGGAATATCTTCTTAATCTCCACCTTAAATCTTTCCCATTAACAGGTGATGATCTTTCTTTATTAGTAGCACTGTCCTCCCATTGTTCATGGATTTGCTCCGGTGGGCCCAGTAATGTCTTCATTGTGAGACTTGTTATTACTGTGTTTGGCATATCGAATACACCATGGTTAGCTTGCCAGCCTTTGCCATGCAGGCAAGATACTCTCAGTAGCTTGCCGGGTCTCTGAGGGGGGCGGAGGAATCGTACCTGGATCAGCCAGGTTGGCTGCATGCAAGGCAAATGCCCTACCAGCTGTGCTATCGCTCCAGCCCATTATTAGTATTACAAGAAATCTCTGTTGAAAGCCCTGGATTTGCACAAGTTGTGTGAGTCTGTTTTTTTCTCCATACTTTGCAGATATTCTGAATGAATAACTTTAATTTTGTGCCTGTTTTTCCATGTACGAAATCAAAATGTTGCCTTTCAAGTGGCAGGACTGCATTGCAAATGAGTCGAGATCTTTCTGTTCAACTTCCCCGGCCAGACCAAACTGTGACAAGAAGTCGAAGCAAGACATACCCTAAGAGAACAACCCAAACCCAGCCAGCTGGTAAGTCCCTGGGTGCCTCATGGTCAGTGTAGATGTGAATTTCCTTTCATGATGGTGGGGGCATGAAATGCTGGCCGCAGCCTACAGTCACTTAATGGTCACCACTCTGTCTTTATTTGACCCTGAAAATGCCAAAACAATCAGAAATAACTAAGAAGTGGGTAAATAGTTATCATGATTAATGTAATCTACTTCATAGCCACTCTTCTTTAAAATTGACTTGTTGTACCCAAGGACAGTAGGAACACGATAGTGCTTTGAACTTCTCTCTCAGTACACCTTTTGCTGTGTGCCATAAGTTCTGGTAGCTCATTGTTACTCAATATGCCTTCATTCCCACTTGTATCCAGGAATCCTTTTACCTTATTTTTAATTCCTCTTTGACCCAGTGGTTAAGTAGTGTGTGTTGACACCCAAGTGTTTGAGCTTTCACCAGCTTTCTGTTTGTGAGTTTTTTCCAATTCAAAGCATTATAATCTGAGAGAGTACTTGGTGTGATTTCTGTTCTCTTGGTTTTATGGAGAGATTTTTTTAATGCCAGCCTGTGGTCTGTCCTAGAGAATAATCCATGAATCCTAGAGAAATATGTGTACTCAGCTCTTTGGGAACTGAGAGGCCTGCACACATCAATGAATTGTATAGGGATCTTGATGGAATTTTAAAAATTCTATCTTCTTAAAGATGATTTCTGGATATTTCTATAATTAACCTTTGTTTCTTTAGTCTTTCATGTGAGACAGTTTCCAGTGTATCTTAAAGTGTGGGTGTAGTGACCAAGAACTTGCTTAGCTGTTATTTGTCAGTGAGGTTTGTGTTGCACCACGGACTTAGTGGTGTCTTGGCTGGATGACATGCTCCCGAGTGTTGGGTGTATCAGACTGTTCATTTGAAAGACCTGCTCTGAATCTCTCCTCGGGGTGTGGGGTTCAGGCCACAGCTGGCGGCACTCAGGGTTCACTCTTGGCTGTGTCTCAGGGTTCACTGTTAGTCCCTGGTGGTGCAGGGACAACGTAGGTGGTGCCAGGGACCCAGACAGAAGGGTCAGCTTTGAGCAAGACCAGCAGCTTCACCCCATACTGTCTGTCTGGCCCTGTGCTGTGAGTATTATGGGGGCTCCTGCTTTGTAAATGATTTCAGGGTTTACTCTTGTTACTCACAGAGTTTTAGCTATCCTCGGCTCTTGCTATTTTACTGAGAATGTGCATTGGTGTTTGAACCTCTTGGGCCTTCCTAGGTCCTGGCTATATCTTTGAGCTTCCTGGATCTGGATGTATGAATTGATCCTCAGATTGGAGCAGTTTTCAGCTTCAATTTCTCCCTTCAGAACTTCTTCCCCATCTTTTTCTTTTCCTATACTTGTTTTCTTTATCATTTTCTTTACCATGATTTACAACACTATTTATGCTTTTTGTGCACATACATTTCACACCATGCCCATTATCAGACAGTGCCCGCCTCCCCAAGGCCTTCTGCTCGCCCTCCCAGAAGCAGACAAAATCTTCAATTCTTATATCTTTGGCCATTTGTTGTTCCCATTATACCTTTTGTAATATTTCATAAATGTTTATACATGCTTATATCACATATGAGAGACATCTTTTTAAATTATGGAGCCCCCAAATTGTAAGTCAGTAATAAATTGACAATTTTTTCAAAAACTATGTTTTTTTTATTATGGGTATGTAAAATTTTAAGTCTGGTAGTATGAATAATTATGTGCTAATGCATATTAGAATTTATGTGAAATATATAAATTCTACAAATACACAGTTTTAGTAGTGGAGGGAGGAGGAGAATTTTTAAAATTTTTAAGGAAAATATAAATCTGTCTAATGATGTCTAAAAGTGTGTTTTATCCAAAAGAAGGAATGTTGGTGTTGCTAGAAAATACTGTGTTATAGATAATTCTTAAGTATTTACATAAATGAGTAAAATATTTTATTGAAAAGTTTCTATAAATACAAAAAGTCACCTGTGTGTAGATATAGAAAGAACGTTCAATGTAATAAAACATGGGAGTGGCATGTGTAGATATAGAAAGAACGTTCAATGTAATAAAACATGGGAGTGGCGATGGAGGGAAACTGGGAACATTGGTGGTGGGAAATGTGCACTGGTGAAGGGATGGGTGTTGGAACATTGTATGACTGAAAATTATAAACAGTTTTGTAACTGTGTATCTCATGGTCATTCAATTTAATATATGTACATAAAATAAATATATAAATATGTAAAATAAAACATTAATTTATTATTGAGAAAGTATAAAGCCTTCAGCAAGTTAGGGATAAATGGACCTTCCTTATTTCAGGAAGGGCCATGGGTGAATACCATCCGGAGTAGCAAAGTGCTAAGAAGTTTTAGTTTTGTTTTTTGGTTATGTTTTGTTTTTTGGGCCACATCCTGTCAGAGGGAGACTGGGAACAGGGGTGGGGTCAGTTGCCACCGTGTGGCAGCTCTGCCCACTTCCTCTGTCACAGGGTCAGAGGTCCTGTGAGAGCTGGTGCTGTCAGAGCACAGAGAGGGCTGCTACTCTATAGTAATGGGTACAATGTTCTGCTTGCTTGAAGTACTACTTTCGAACCAGCTTGTAGAGACCTGACCTTAGTCCTTCCCTACTCCTGGAGGTGTGGTGGGGCTCCAGCCTGTGTGAAAGGGGCGTCTGGTCCTCACTCACCTCAGGTTCATTTTCCTCTCTCCCTAGGCCCCAGGCAGTTCTGTGAGACAGAGGGCTCCGTGACTGCAGGTCAAGTCCACGTAGAGTCCACACTGCCACACTGTGTTTGCAGGAGATTGGAGGGCCCTGAGGGAGTGGGTGTGGGTCTGAGGTCACCACAGTCCTGAGGGAGTGTGGGTCAAAGGTCACCACAGCCCTTAGTGAGTGTAGGCCCAAGGTCACTGCAGCCTTGAGGAAATGAGCATGGGCTAGAAGCCATGAGGGAGTGGGTGTATGTTAAGGTCACTGCAGATCTGGGGGAGTGAGTCTGGGTCAGATGTCACCAAGGGCCTTGCTCTCCCACTAGAGATGGCTCCTCTGCCTGTATCATCTTCATATATGTCGTGCTCTAGGAAACCTCTTTCTGAGAATCCCCATTCCAGAAATCCACTCATGTGTATTTGGATGGGGAGGAAATTATATCTGTCATTAAAAAATATATTTTTACTGACAAAATTTATTAGTTTTACTTAAATATTTAATTAAAACAGAAAGTGAATTTAATGACAGAATCACTTAAATCACTTAACTTCCCGTTAGTCGTCGATTTGCTTGAGCGGGCACCAGTAATGTCTCTATTTGTCCCTGTCGCGTGCTAGTGTAGCCCAATGGCATCTGTTCGCTCTGGGAACATGAAGAGCCTCAAACCTATCGTTCATGATCTTGATGAAGAAGTCTGACCATCTGGTAGGTGGGCTGCCACACGGTCTTTTGACATCCCGTGGAATCCAGTCGGTAACAGCTCTAGTCCAGCGGCCGTCTTTAAATCTCATTAGGTGACCAGCCCATCTGATTTTTTTTTAATTTTTTTTATTTATTTATTGAATCACTGTGGGAAAGGTTACAAAGCTTTCAGGTTTATGTCTCAGTCATGCAAATATCAAACACATTTCCCTTTACCAATACTTATTTTTTACCATGAAGAACCCCAATAAAACCCCACCCCCCACCCCTCCCCGTCCCTGTGAGGCAGATGAATTCTAGTTAACACTCTATCTGCTTTGATTAGATTCATTGTTTCAATAAAAGATTCACCACTATTATTTAGAGTTTACCCCCCCCCCCAAATCAGACATGCTGAAAAAGCATTGTGAAGTGATTTGCTTTCTACGGCTGGGTTCAAGAATTAAATGTTGGTTTTGGATTTCTGCTCTTTTACCTATTGACCCTGGAAGTATTTCTACTGAAAGTCAGATAGTTAAGAAATTGGTTTCTGTGTTCTGGAGTCCTGGCCGTGCTGGAGAGCCGCTCGCGGGGGGCAACCGGTGGCCTCGGTAGGGCATGAAGGGCGGACCGGAACGCCCCCCTTCCCATGAGGTTTTAGTTGCCCCCACACTCCCGGCTCATACCTGCTGTCCACAAGGCTCCCATGTGGCCGCCATCTTTCTTTCCAGAGAGGAGAGGGCGAATGGGGCAACACCCTTTCCCCTCCGGCAGACTTGATGGCCTGGATCAATGCATAGTCCGTTCACTTTTCTGCTCCAAGCTGCTGGGTTCTGCATTAAGTCCTTGTGCTTCTGGGGCCGTGGCCGTGCTGGAGAGCCGCTCGCGGGGGGCAACTGGTGACCTCGGTAGGGCGTGAAGGACGGACCAGAACGCCCCCCTTCCCATGAGGTTTTAGTCGCCCCCACACCCCCGGCTCATACCTGCTGTCCACAAGGCTCCCATGTGGCCGCCATCTTTCTTTCCAGAGGGAGGAGGGCGGAAGGGAGCAACACCCTTTCCCCTCCGGCAGACTTGATGGCCTGGATTAACGCATAGTCCTTTCACTTTTCTGCTCCAAGCTGCCGGGTTCTGCATTAGGTCATTGTGCTTCTGGGGCTGTGGCCGTGCTGGAGAGCCGCTCGTGGGGGCAACTGGTGGCCTCGGTAGGGTGTGAAGGGCAGACCGAAACGCCCCCCTTGCCATGAGGTTTTAGTCGCCCCCACACTCCCGGCTCATACCTGCTGTCCACAAGGCTCCCATGTGGCCGCCATCTTTCTTTCCAGAGAGGAGAGGGTGAATGGGGCAACACCCTTTCCCCTCCGGCAGACTTGATGGCCTGGATCAATGCATAGTCCGTTCACTTTTCTGCTCCAAGCTGCTGGGTTCTGCATTAAGCCCTTGTGATTCTGGGGCTGTGGCCGTGCTGGAGAGCCGCTCGTGGGGGGCAACTGGTGACCTCGGTAGGGCGTGAAGGACGGACCGGAACGCCCCCCTTCCCATGAGGTTTTAGTCGCCCCCACACCCCCGGCTCATACCTGCTGTCCACCTGGCTCCCATGCGGCTGCCATCCTTCTTTCCAGAGA